TAAGAAGATGTTTCTCAGAAAAACAGATTATGTTTAGTTGAGCGAAATTATGATAGGGGAAAATGCCATGCTTAATTAGTACAGACGTTGGGGAAAGTAGCGGATTGATGTTGCAAGTTGTTTGGTAGATATTTTACTTCCTGAAATAAATGTGCGTGCTTCGCTTATTTGAGTGTTTTAAGGTAGGCCATATTTTTAACAGCAAAAATGAATCCCATTACTAGATGATGAACAGAAAGTGATTTACTTAATATTAAAGCAAATAAGTCAATATAGAATTATGCGTAAATTAAGTTGGGTATAATTTTTATGGTCAAATAAAGATATCAGTTTGCTTTCTTTTTATTTCATATTCTGTTTTCAAAAATAAAAACTGGTAAAAAACCTAAAAACAGATTAAAACCATCTGCTTACAAATAGGGGGTTAGGCTATTAGCATTTTAGTCTTGTGCTGTGTGCACTTGTGGAGTAGCGGTGGAGTTTGGGATTGTGGTTTTGTGTGTGTGTGTGATGTGGCGGAGGTGGGTGATAGTTGTTGTTGCTTTGTTTGGCTGTTTGTAGAAGTGTGATCGTATTGTGGGTTTCAAACCTGCTTTACGAGAGGATTTTGTTTTCTTCCGTTAAGGTGAGGGTAGAGGTAGTTATGAGTGGATGTTGTGGGGTGGTGTTGGTTGGGTGAAAGAGAGTGCATGGTTTATGCTCTGGGGTGGGGTGCGCTTCGATAAGTATTGTGTTGTGGGGTGTGGGTCAGTGCTCTGCTCTGGTGCGTGTTCTGTGTTGTGGTGGTGTGCTCTGTGGGTGGATGTTACGGGCTGTTGTTGGCGTTCTGTGGGTGATGTGTGTGTGGCGAACTTCGCTTTGCTTATGCTTGTTTGTGGGTCAGGAGTATTGTGGTGTCGAGTTGGTGTCTCTTATTTTGTGGTTTTGTGTTATGTGTATGCTGAGAGTGATGTGGACGGTTTTAGGGTTGTCGTGAGAGTTTTTCGGCTGTTCAAGGGAGTTTTGGGTGTTTTTTTCTAGTTAGGTTGAGTGGTGGTGTTGTTTTGTGAGTTAGTGCTGCTGTTGTTGGCGGTGTGGGAGTGGTATTTGTGGTGTAGGTGTGCGTGTGGGGTGGTTAAGTGTGCGCTTTTGGTTGTGTTGTTGTAGAAGATTTTCTGGTGATGGGTATGTTGTCGTTAGGGTTTTGTGGTGGTTTTAGGGTTTTTGTGTGTGTCGAGTTGTGTGCTTGTGAGTTGGTATGGTAGTGCGGAGGTATGTGTTGTGTGTGTCTTGTGTTGCGGTGTCTCGTAGTGCTCGGTTTGGGATGTTGTGTGTTGGTGTTTTGAGGTTTATTTGATGCGTTTATTGGGTTGAGAGGGGTGGGGCGCGTTGTATGTTGTTTGCGCTGTTTTTCCGAGTTTGGTGTTTAGGGAGGGTGTGGTTCTAGGTGTCTTGGAGTTCGTGTATAGGTATAAGTTGGGTTGGTGGAGTGTGTCTGATTTGTATGGGTGGGGGATAGAGATATTGTGAGATGCGTGCCGGTGAGTGTGATTTCTGGCTTACGTTAGTGTGGAGGCTATGGTACTTAATTGCGGATGTGATAGAGTTTTGTGGTGGTGGGGATTGGGGAGTATTTAAGTTATGGTGGGTTGTCGCTTGTGGTTGGGGGGTGTTGGTTTTGGTGTTGGGGTTTTCGCTTGCTTTGTTGTTATGTTTGGGGTTAGTGTGTAAATATTATTTGGGATCATGCCCGGTGTTCATGAGGGGTATGTGTATCGGGCTCTCTGTGCTTTGTGGGGTTGTGTGTGTGTAGAATGGTGGCTGGGATATGAGTGGGTGTTCATTGGTTTAGAGATAAAGTGATGGGTCGGTGGTGGTGATAGTGTGGTGGTTGTGTATGGTTGTGGGGGTTTTGGGGTGTTGTGTGGAACTAGATCTTGTGTGTGGTTAGAACGCAATACGGTTGCGGCAGTAGGTTGGCAGTGGTTGTTGAGAGCGCGTGGTGGCTGTTGGAGATTAGGTGGCGTGTTTAGTGTGGACGTGGTTTGTGGGTTGGGGTGCGCGGGGGGTGTTAGTTTGTGGTGGTTGGCGAGTATGTGTCCCGGTTCGTGGTCGGGTATGTGGGTCGGTTGGTCCGTGTTGTGTTGGGTGTTTTTGGTGTCCGTTGTGTGAGTGCGAGTGTGGGTTTGTTGTAGGGAGTGGGTGCGGTATGTTAGCCGTGGAGTTGTTAGGTGAAGGGTGGAAGATGATAGAGGTTTGGTGGGTGTCTCTGGTCGCTTGTGTGTTAGGGTATGCTCTCATGGTTTAGTGGGGGGGGGTTCTGTTTTTTTGTTGCTGTTCTTGTTTGGTAGTCGTTCGTGTGTTGTGTTAGAGGTTGGGTGTGTGTGTCTTTGTGTGTAGGGCTGTTGTTGGTGGCGAGGTCAGTCTGGAGGTGTTGTTGTTGTGTCAAGGTTGTCTGATAGCGTTGGTTTGGGTGTTGGGGTGGATGTGTGGTTGCTTTGTGATTGTTGTGTTTGCGCTCTGATGTTGTGGCCTTATTTTGAGAAGTAGGATTCTTGGTGGTGAGGTGTGTAGGTGTTAGTTGTTGTTCTGCATGTCTTGTGGTTGTTGTGCTGGCGCTGTGTGATTGCTGTGTATGTGTCTCGCTCTGTGACGTTGGGGTGGTGTTGTTGGTGTTTTGGTGGATATTGGAGGTGTCTAGGTGATTGGTTTGTGAGCGAGTAAGAAGGATATATGCTGGCGTTGTTGAGGTGTTGTGAGGTGTTTATGTGTAATGTGGAGTATGTGGGGTTGTCTGTTGTTTTGTCGATATAGAATAGTGTTGGTCGATTCTAAAAGACTGAACACTCCAAGAACAGGCTGAGCACCCCAAGAACACCCTAGGAACAAGCTATTAAGCAGCTGAACACCCTTTAAAACATATCAAAATGGGCATATCATTCGAAAAATAATGTTTTGCGCTGATGTTTTGCGCGCCAAAAGTGTGAACGGGTGTTTGTACACGCGGAGCAAATTCGAGTTTGATTCCCTTTGTGCATTCAAGCAATTTCCCGTTGTTTTCAAATCTTTCACATCCAGTGACAATGTCACTTGACTACCTATTGTCCTCCAAACAATTGTTTTTCCCATCCGCTAATTTGCCCAAACTATTATGTGGTCACGGTATGCAAGTGCACGCTACACAACTCTCTTGTTGTGTTGTTATTCTCCAGGCAGTGACGTCTCCAGCTGGGGCACTCGCAGGCCCAATTCCTGGATAGGATTTTTTTAAGGAATTTTTGACAAATGAAACAGGAAATGCACAGTGTTAGGACTTGATAGAGGGTAGCAGCAGGGCCACAGGATGCGACTTAAAAGTGGGCTTAGGAGGGGCAAATTTTGAGGCCTGTGCTCGAATGGGGCCATGACAATCTTACTTGAACTATGTTTATGTATGTAGTAGAAATTGCGTGAGTTTTGGTTAAAGCACAGTTTTAAGGGCTTTTGTCGAAGATTTGCTTGTTTTTGTGGGTGTTGCGGTTCCTCTCAGCTTCCTAGGCAACCATATATTGTAAAGATATTATATGGACTGTAAATAAGTATATAATTTTCTTATTGTTATAAAAGTCCCTGAACATGAAACGAATTGGAATTTCAATTTTTTGTTGCCAGGAACCATAGTAGCAGGAGGGTTATAGGGGCTTTAGCCACACAACAATTTACAAACCCTCGTTCACACATTTGGCTCGCAAAACAACAGTTGGTTGTAACAACACCAACAGCATTATACTTATCAGGCCCTTTTCCGCCCCAAAATTAATTTTGATTGATTGAACCGAATTATTTTTTGAATGATATGCCGATTTTGATATGTTTTAAAAGGGTGTTCAGCCGCTTAATAGCTTGCTCTTAGGGTGTTCTTGGGGTGTTCTTGGGGTGTTCAGCCTGTTCTTGGAGTGTTCAGTCTTTTAGAAACGACGTTTTTCAAAGCCATTTTCAAATTCTGTACCGCGAAAAAAAAAATTGTTCACAAACTTATTGCTTGATATTTTTGTAATCATATTCTTAATTTCTAATTGTCATACATCTAAACTCATTGCAATATACATTAATGCCGTTATGCTTTATCATAATATGATATTCTTTTTCTTGACAGTGGTCGGCCCTAAAATAGCTTAGGCTCCAGGCCTGGTATTGGTAAATCCGCCCCTGGCAAGTTTGAAACGGGGGTAACCAAGTTTAGGTACTGCACAAAACCAAGTTGAATTTAGTTCCGCACACGAGAAGTTCGACGTTTTGAACGAGCATGACAAACACACCCTACCCTAACTACCTAACTAGAAATAGCTCTTGCTAGTACTGCCCGCAAACAATTAGTTCCTTGATAATGATTGTTTTGAAAATGTAGGTCAGGATATTCGAAGAAGACACCATCTTGGGTTTTCACAATTCTATAAAAACAGCTGCTCTAGTTGAAGCTAAACTATTCTTTTTATCAAGAATTTTTGGTTTTCAGTTTGCCTTTGATTTAAGTCCAACGCCCTTTTGAAAATCATGAAGTTTTTCGAGGGTTTGACATTTATTTTTCGATAATCACGACAATCATAACTTTTGCTCGTACGGTCTCGAGTTTTTGGGAGAAAAGTGTGGCATTCGACTGGTTTTGATTCCCAAAACTTCAAATCAAAACTTCCATCCATTGTGGAGAACCGAGCTGTGATGCAGCACCGTTTTCGTGCCAAAAAAACCGAAGGCCTTTAAAAGAGTCTTGGCAGAGCAACGCTCCGAAGATAATTCCCTTCCGCACAAAGAGGTGGCGGTTAACGACCTCCTCGACAAAGCCGATTGATTGACAATGAAATTGATTGACAGTTGTCATGGCAGCAGAAAAGTGACAAAATCTGCTGAAAAAGTGCTGACAACATGAACTGAAGCTTCCATATGCTACTTATACGCGGGGCAGACTATAAGCCCTTCACTCGCGCGCTATCGCGCGCGAGTTGCGGGCAATTACGCAAACAAAATAATTACTTCAAACAAACAAAGATACTGATGACAACAATAGTGGCGATGGGATGATGCAATAACATGCATGAATGGCAAGGTGACAAACAACGGAACTAACGAGAACATCGAAACAGCAGGCAACTGAACATCACGGATAACCAAATAAAACGTCCAACTAGCGGCAGGGGCGGATAATACAGCAGGCGGTCTGAGGGGCCTCCCGCGTGGCCAAAGGTGGAGCCATTATGGGGGCCCAGCCCCACCGGAACCAGAGCAACTAGGTCTAATTTTAAAGGCAAGAACCCCAAAGTTCACAATGCTAATCATTTCAACCACTATAAATAAAAGAAATAATTTCACCTTTTTTCAAGAAATGATACACTTTGATCGATGGAACGCCTTAACGCCTTAATAGATGGCCTTTTCTTTAGGAGCGGAAGTTGGCTCACAAACGAGGTTTGCAGGCCTTGCAGTAGTTTTGAGAGTGGCGACGGGACTGGGGCCCTGAAGCGTTAAAATTTTTCAGTCAAACATTTTTCCCTTGAAAAGGTTTTCCAAATTTTCCAGCAAATCCAACACGTAGTTGAAACAAAATCTTGAGATTCAGAAGTTTACACTACCTATCCACCTCTTCAGATAAAGAAAAATTGGGATTCTTCTCTTTTAAAACTTCCAACCTCATGTGAAAACACGAATTTTGATTGGTGAGATTTGGTAAAATATTTGCATAACAAAGAGCCCTGCACCTTCGTGCGGCACGGGCGTCATGCTTAAAAATCATACTGTTTACGGTCTAGGATGGTCTTTGAATTTCTTCTATGTTGAATCAAATTGTGGCATTGTGTGTGAGATCGACCAAGTTCGGTCCTGTGTTTAATGTGTAAAGAGAGGTAAATGTATTATCTGTAGGGAGGAAAATAAAAGATTGTGGTGAACACGATTGCCTTATTTCAATGACTAAAGACTAAAACTAAATTCTGAAAAACTGACGGTCTTCCGCGCGACCTGTGCGACACCCTGAATCCGTCCCTGTAGCGGTATATTATATAAGTCACGCCATTCAATTTTAAGACCACATTGATTTAAGGGAAGATATGGCGCTTGTTTTGAGCAGAATTAAACATTTCAAGGCTCTCATCTATTGTGCGAGACTCAAGCAACGAAAATGGCTTGCGAATACTACCTTAGCAGCCGATGGCCGGGTATGCAGTTCCTTTGTCGCAGGAAAAATGCCAACAAGAAATAAAACAGACTTTGAAACAACCAACGATTCCTTTTATATTTCT